ACAAACAATAATGTAAACCTAAAAAGGGTAAAGTTCACAATTGTTATTGGCATGTGAAATATCATTCCCTATTCCCAAAGAAATGCACACGTGATGAAAAAAGTCAGGCGTTACCTAGTATATTGTATCAAAATGACATGGAGTAGATGCAGATTACATTCCAGTTGACATATCACTTTGTACTAATGAAATATCGAAATGAATCAAGCGAACCTGTCTTTGCTCCAACATAAATATATATTTTTGTCCTATAAATTAGTTTATTCGCTTATCCTTTCCAGACAAATGAACCAAATGAACATTTAATAAATAGGAACCCGAAAAATACAAAAATATGACTGTCTTCTGAACTGTAATCGTATTTCTATTCATGTTAGATAAACGAAGGTATACAGAAAGCATTTATAATGTTTGGAATTTGTTTGGCAAACTTGAAGATGCAACAATTCGAAAAATACAAAGTATTGTATAAAACATTACATCTAGAACTCAGATACAAAATACAGCAGTAGCACTTTAATTAACAACGTGTTATCTTCCAATGAAACGAATTTTAAATCAAAGACAATAATTTAAAACACCTTTTGTATTTCTGTTCAACAAAGAGAAACAGATCCAATAGACCAACTGAGGCAAAATAAATATTAAATAGTAATTTTACATTTGCCCATAAAAGCACAATATAGATTAAACCGCATAAATTAAACTAAATTTAAGTCTGAATAATTTTATTTTCGTTAGAAATTAAATATTTTACGCTTTATGATAAGTAAGACTGCAGTGGTTGTAAAATATCACGTTATTTGATCACTTGGGATTGTGCAATAGCTTAAGCTTAATTCTGTAATCAATAGAAACAGGAGGTACTTAACTCGCAAGCAAACTGTTACAAGAAAGATATCTGTAACTTTCGGCTCCAGATAACCTCAAAACAACTTAAAAAGTCATTACTTTTAATTATGCCTTGATGAATGTATTGTAAATATCACGAAAAGACTGGTTTACCGTGACATAATACTAGCAATGGATTATCTATTTTTTCTATATTTTAGCAGTTTTTGTAGCCTAAGATAGATTTTCACAAATAAAAAGTGTATATTCTATAATTAACATTTAAATGAGTAATTATCGATTAATATATTACGATTTGAGAGAATAATTTCGAATAATTAAGGGGGGAAGGCTATAAGTAGCGCCCTCTGTACGTTTAAAGAGAGAAAGAGATCAAAACACTCTCCACGAAGCAATTAAATTAAAAAGCCCGTAAAATGAGAACTGAGTTGTCATTAGTTATATTTATTGTATACTTATATTTTAATCTACACGTTACTAGTACTACATCGCATTATTCTTTTTATCATGCACCACTAAAGATCACAGTTGCAAGGGTTATTAATCGTGAAGAACTTCTGATAAAAAATAAGCAAACTATATAGACCAAAATAGCGTATATGTTAATTAAGACAATATGATTTAACAAATGAACCAAAAATACTCAGATAAATACTTAAATCAATACATAACTTATGGCGCTTATATCATTATATTTGCCCTCATTGTTAACGGTACTTTAGGCCGTATATTCAGTACTTGCTGTATTGTGAGATCCATTATTGTATCGTTTCGTTCCAACAAGATGTGGCATTATTTGTTCCGTGCAGTACTTTAGGCCGTATATTCAGAATTTGCTGTATTGTGAGATCCATTATAGTATCGTTTCATTCCAACAAGATGGGGCATTATTTGTTCTGTGCAGATTTATGTAGAAAACATCCTCACAGATACTGTGTTAAAAGTTCTGCATTTTGTGTGTTTTTTTGTCATGACACATCCAAGGTTATCCGGCTGTTGCCTAATTTCATCACATACCCGCTAGCGATTTGTAGGCTATAAGTTTTTCAATACTTCTACTAGGTGGACTGTTTTCATAAGCTAGAGGGTGGAAACGGAGGACTCTTCTCCCAATAAGGAGTCACTACTATGAAGCAACAGCATTACAGTCGTAGCAAGGAAATCACCAAGGCTACCAGTAGCGTAGTGGCTATCACTAGTACTATGACAAAAATACCTGTTATTGTATTCCTACCATTTGTTCTGTTTGTTTGAATTTAAAGTTATCATGGTTACGACATCAAGTCTTGTTGTTTTACAGTTACCAGCGAGGGAAAATGATTTAGACTACTAAGCAAACATTTACTGCTAGAAATTTTTTTAAATAAGTTCATTGAAAATTACATGAATTTGTTATCTTATACACTTAGAAAGATCTATAAATACATATCCAATGCTATACAGTAAGTATTTGTTATTTTATACGCTTACAAAGATTTACAAATACATATTCATTGCTATACAGTAAGTATTTGTTATTTTACACTTACAAAGCTTTACAAATGCATATTCATTGCTATACAGTAAGTATTTGTTATTTTATACGCTTACAAAGATTTACAAATACATATTCATTGCTATACAGTAAGTATTTGTTATTTTATACGCTTAGAAAGATTTACAAAAACATATTAATTGCTATACATTGCTATTATGGCGTTGAAGTAATCTTTTGCCCCTTAAGGTTTACCAAAATAGAGATGTGGCTGTATATTGCACATATTTGTTTAGCCACCGATGACGATTTTCATATATAATATACAGTAAATAGGCAAGAATGTTTGATTCTAAAAACAATTGCATGTGTAATTCGAATATTAAATCAAGATTACTTTTTCAACACGTTTTCCTCTAAAAAATATTGTATAAGTGGCGTTATTTGTCATTTCAATAGTTTCCCTGATATATTTTGAGACATCTTGTGCCCAGAAAATGTAAATATTGAAGAAATTAAAGCTAAAAAATCTTTAACGGGTATTTGACAAAATTAGTCAACAGACGGTTAACTTTGGATGTGCCGTGACAAAAACTACATATATTTTTTTTTATATGGAGAACTTATTAAACATGAACTGCGAAGATGTTGACTGCACAGAATAAGTAGCGTCCATCTTGTTGGAAGCAAACACATTTTCTAGGCACACATTTCAATTCAGCACAAGGCCTAATAATATCTCACGAAACTAATTTTCTAGGCACACATTTCAATTCAGCACAAGGCCTAATAGTATCTCACGAAACACATTTTCTAGGCACACATTTCAATTCAGCACAAGGCCTAATAACATCTCACGAAACTCATTTTTAGGCACATATTTTAGTTGAGAATATGGCCTCTTAATACCTCACGAAGATCGACCAACTTCAGATAATTTTATTGGCCCTATCCTAAATCCACTCAAAAAGCTAGCAATGTAAACTAATCTTCACCAGTGTAATTATAAGTCTACATATTATTGAGCAATTATTTGAAGTATTACCAAAAGTATAGCACTTCACAAGCAGGACTAGCATTTCGATAGAAAACTTTTGAATATTTGAAACTCGAGTAATCGCATCACGAAACAGTAAATGCAAAAAAAAGGTCCTATAAGACTTTGGGAGAAGAGCGCTTAAGAGTGCATGTATTGTATTTTTTACATTGTTGCTGTTTTTAGAGAACTGTGTAAACAGATACTATCCGTGAAATAGCAAGATTTTAGTAAACTTGAGAGTGAAAGTCGGCACTTCTTTGACGTAGTTCGTAGTGTACAGTTTGTCTGTAAGGTTCTGTCAGCAGAACACTGCACGTAAGTCATTTTATATTAACATTGTTGTTGTTGTTGTTGTTTGAGGTAGCTCTGTATCGATACTATCCGTGAAATGGTAAACTTTTAGTAGACTTCTAATACCGTTCATACTGAGCAGTTCTCTGATGAATATTAATTGAACATTCTTATATTTTTAAACATGGACTTCAGTAAAGATTTATTTTTGAAAGTAGTCTAAAGAACTGTACGGTATTTCCTTTTTTACAGTCAGCATGTGTTATACATAATCTAGGTTTCATCCTATACTTAAAAAAAAAACTGTATGTCACTAACTGCTGCTAATAAATTTTACTCTATCAGCATTTACACAGTACAAACGGGCTTGGCTTGCTTAGGGTATTCGACATGCAATCTGCAGGTCGCGGAATCGAGCTCTGTCACCGAACGTGCTCGTCTTTCCAGCCGTGGGGACGTTATAGTGTGACGGTTAATCCCACCATTCGTTGGTAAAGAGTAGCCCAAGAATTGGCAGTGGATAATGTTGACTTGTCTATCACCCCAAAATTAGGGACGGAAAGCACAGATAACTCTCGAGTAGCTTTGCGCGAAATTCAATAAACAAAGTTCAATGTCAATAAGGTAATAATGTCAAAAAACAGAACAGAACAGAAGATGGAAGAATGAGTTTCAGACACTGATGGAATCACTTTAACAGATAAATTCGTTTTATGGCGTGGTTATTAAATGTCAGTGTTTCTTAATAAAGTCTTCAATTTCCCTACAAATACTGAAAAGAGAAAATCTGATATCTGAAAGTTCATTAACACTAAACACGTAGCAGACCTCTAGCTTTAGTTGAAAAGAATATCTGAAGCTGAAAGACTGCGTTAAAGAATATTTTTGTCGTATCATTTCAATAAAATATTTTTTTTTCTCGTTATTTTGTTCTTCAAACATTCTTCTGGAAGTTTGGTGAAAAGGTGGAGTTAGTGTCTTCATATGTGGGCAAATAATGTACGCAAACTTTTTGGACGAAAGATCCAGTGCAAGGTAATTAATTATCTTCTTGTTAAATACGAGAATTCATAAATGTTATAGTTAGGGCATAAACAAATTAATTTTGATGATCAAACAGCATATTGTTGTTGCTTATATGTATGGTCCCCTGGTGGGTCAGTTGTAAGTTTACGGTCTTAAACGCAAAACTTCGGGATTCGATTCCACGCTGTGGGCACAGTGAAAATAGTCCATTGTGTAGTTTTACACTAAGAAAATAACAACAACAACAGCTCATATGCGTGTGTGTGTCTTTTAGCTATGAAACATCCTTATTCACTCGATATTTGAAGTATTACTTACTTGAGTGTGAACTGTTACAGGAAGTTCAGAATAGAAAGGCAATCGTTTAGTCCACTGCACTAATTTGAACACTATGTTGTCTCCTATTTGACAAAGCTTTTCTGATAGTTCATATTTGATACTTAATAAATCTTGTAGGTTGCTGAGCGTAGCAACATCTTCAAAATCGTCGCATTCAATCAGTTGAGTTATCATTCCCGCTGCTTGCTCAATCGGCATCTGGCGATCACGAGAACTGGAGACACAATTTTCAAGATGATGACGTAAATGCATAACGTCCGCCGGGTTAGTGAGAGCGGTTTTGAGGATCTGACCGTTCGCCCACTCTTGTTGGACGTAACGATTTGGTGTTTTTTGTTGCTCTTGTCGAACTTGACCGTTTTTCTGCCCTTTCTTGTTTTTCTTATATTTCACCTAAAGTTACAGAAAAAAAAAACAACAACGATAAATAACTATCCATCTCAATTTAATTAAAAAAGAAAAAATATTAATATAGACGATTGATAGTGCTACATGGTAACCACAAACCCACGTCCTGTCATTTAAAATTGAGATCATGTGATAAATGGGATCAGTATGCTTTGAAAACTCATATTACAATAAGATTTCATATTCTTATCATTTTGAATCCTTCGAAATCTTCCTCACCCTCTCTCTCTCTCTATATATATATATATATATGAAACGAAAGTAACAAGAAAAACGGAACTACAACAAGTACTAATTGGCGATACATATCTGCATCAGAAAATAATTTAAAAGTATATTCAAATAGTAAGTCTCTATTTGACAAAACACACAAAAAATAAAAATAGCAACAAATATAAAATCATAATAAGTACATTTTGTAGAGGGGACAAATTGCGTGACAGCGGGAAAATGGGGACACCCATCTCTCCAGTTATTCTCCAAATACCATTAATCTAACACCACATAAGTAATTCATTGGTCAAACTTAGGTGCTTTAACGTACAACGTCCCAAGCCTAACTACACACTCACTATCCACAGCTAGCTCTAATCATGGTGGTTAAGCCTTAATGTTATCTATATATCAAAATTATTAATTATATAAGCATGGTAGTTAAGCCTTAATATTATCAATATATTAAGATTATTAATTATATAAGCATGGTGGTTAACCCTTAATATTATCGATATATTAAAATTATTAATTATATAAGCATGGTGGTTAATCCTAATATTATCGATATATAATATTTTTAATTATATAAGCATGGTGAGTAACCCTTAATATTGTCGATATATTAAAATTATTAATGATATTTTTATATATTTATAAAACCCTGCTATTAAAATGAAGATCGCTTATCTAAATTTTCTATATTCATTGACTCATTCCTGGCTTATAACATTCATCTTTCTTCCAAAATGTGTAGAAATCTGTTTTAAAGCTAAAAATACATATTTACAAACATTCAGGTACGTGTACTTCTTATACATTTTAGAGTTTTAATGTTACACTAAGGTATAAAACGTGCGTTACAAGACAGAAATTGTTGAATAATAACATCTTCTAATCTAATGTATTTCTGCTCGTGAGTCAAAGCACAAGTAACAACCAGTGCACGTGCTATAAGGAACATATATTAGGTCGTCAAGAAATTAATGACGCCTTTTGGAACACTTTCATTAACCACCCTCAAAAAAAACGTACATCACGTATAGTAGTTAAACGAACCACTGAACGTCACGTCATCAGCTTTATCTGTAATTACCGTATCTTTACCTCCGATATCAAATTTCTCGAGGTATTACAATAAAAGAATGAAACAGATCACCTATTACAGTAATTAATTAGTTATTTAAATCACTATTGAAAATAATTTTACCGTTGTCATTGTTAGTACTTTATACTAATACCCAGATATAATTACCACATAGCTACATTTTCTTATTACTAAATAGTGATTATACGTTTCGGATGCTAATCTGCTACTGTCTTCAGGGAAGGACCACATCTGGTGACTGCAACCGGAAGTTGATCCTGTAACTTCCTATTGGTAAGGAAAAATTTTTATCCTCTCGTCCAGGTTCTTGTCCTTATTGTACTTTAGATCAACTGTTTGAATGATTTCAATGGGGGATATCCAGATTTTACTACTTCTACGCCAAGTTGACTGAATGTATTACAAGTTAGTTGGATATAAAAGATATTTTTATTTTTTCTCGTGTACAGTTCACATTTCATTATTGTAGCATTGTTTCATTTCATTGTATGATCTTATCGTCTGAAAAATGGGGTATTGCACAGTCTTGTATGTCTATTGTGCTCCTACATTTTTAGTTTTTCTTGAACTCTTATTTTTCACCAGTGCAAGAAATGTTAAAATGGTTTGGCGTGTAGTAATTGAGATCGCATTGTGTTATGGTTTTGAAATGCTGTTCTAATTTTATGTTATTGAATATTCCCTGTTTTCATAGATAACTCTGATTGTGTTTCTGTAAATTTCATCAAGCTTATTCTTGGTGTTTGTCTCATATTCTTAATCAGGTGTTTAAGGAATCCATTGTCTAACAGAGTTGTGGTGATGTGTTCTCCTTCTTAGCACCTTCTGTATTACGTATCTTATTCATTACGAATACTAGGCAGTGTAAGACTATCTCGTTTCTACAATGTAGGGATGGTTTGATCTATAGTCGATGTATTTACTAGTGTCTGTGGGTTTCTTGTAAACTTCTGTGTTGTGTGAGTTATGCATTTTGGTGGCCATCACGTCTAGGAATGGGAACTTCTTGTCTTCTATTTCCATTGTAAATTTTATTGCAGAATGTTGTCTGTTCAGGTGGTTCGTGAAATCAATTGTGTGTAAGAACATTACGAATGTGTCGTCAACATACCTGAGCCAAATTCCGGATCTTAGAATGGCTATTTTGAGGGCATTATCTTTGAAGTGTTCCATATAGATACTAATGAGCCCATGGCTAGGCCTTCTTGTTGTTGGTAATATTTTTCTTCGTGTTCCAAGTAAGTTGTGAGCTCAGTCATTGAGGAGATTGGCAGCTAGGTATGCTATTTCAAAATTCTGTCATTTTCATTTTATTGGCTTTAGTGAATAGGTTGGATACATTGAAACTGATCATCGTATTTTGTGAAATTATTATGTCTACTTTTATAATCTTCACAAATTGGACTGAGTTCTTAACATGCATGGATGTTTTACTTGATATTAGCTAAGTAATAATTAGAAAGAAAGGCAACATCATAAGAATCCAATCAACAAAGAAATGCCACTCTAATCATGGTCAAAAAACTCATTAAAGTTTCAAAGTCCGGTTGAGGATGGTCACTACAAGAAGATAAAGATAAAAAGCTTAACAAACTCTTCAAGAAGATGTCGAAAAGACTTTGGAACAGAAACAAATAACTAACAGTACATCACAGCAGCATCCCACACATTGATAGTCTACTTAAAATTTACAAACAAGGTTTATTTCTCCATTCTACAGTTAACTGCAGAAATTCACCATGTCATCCCTTAGCTAGGTATCTTGTAGATATAATATTAATAATTTTTAGATTTAAATAAATGCATAGGATACTAATTATGACATCAATGGATATCCAATCGCTACAACCTTACCATAAGTATTAAAATCGCTTTAGTGGATCTTTCTCGAGAGCAATAATGTGCATCTTAATAGTAAGTAAATGGGTCGTTGGGCTTAGCATATTCAAAATGGAAATGATCTAATTTCAATATTTATTTATTTTTTTTTGGGGGGGGGGTATAATGACAAAACAATTTACATATAATATGATATTTTATTGAGGATTTCGATTCAATTGTCATTTGATATTCTGTACATATATATTTATTTCTAAGCTGTAACTCATGTTGTCTTTTTATGTTAAATCACTGGCACAATATATGACAAATGCATATCTTACACTAAAAAAACTGAAGGGAAAAGATTAACACAGATGATGATAAATGTCCCCGATAGATCAGTGGTCTTACAGCCCTAAAATCCAAGGTTCGATGGACAGAACACAAATAGCCCTTTGTATAGCTTTGCAACGATACAACCCTATGGAAAAGTCCTTTAGAAAAGCTATAGGATCCTGTAGAATTATATAAAAACTATTTACAGTACTATAGTCGCTATAGAGATATTTAAACAAAGTCTATATAATTTTATTGAACTGAAAAGCCCCCCCCCCCAGTGGCACAGCGGTATGTCTGCGAACTTACAACGCTAGAATCCGGGTTTCGATACCCGTGGTGGGCAGAGCACAGATAGCCCATTGTGTAGCTTTGTGCTTAATTACAAACAAACAAATGAACTGAAAAAAAAATCTGACGGTTGTATATAGAAATCTTTATAAAAAAGTTATATTTTCTATGCAAATTAAATATTTAGTTTTGTAATGTATAATTCTTTAGCAATTCCACGACGTTTGCTGGACTTGGAATGTTCATCTGACTTTGTCCCCCGGTGGGGTTTATAATTCTAAAATCAGGAGTTCGATTCCCCTCGATGGATACAGCAGATAGCCCAATTTGACTTTGCTATAAGAAAACACACACACACACTCATATGACTTTATTCCTAATTTCTGGAGTTGACGGCCTTGAAGTGTTTTTTTGTGGAGTAAGGTTATACAGTTTGATTGTTTCTATACGCATGGTGCTTATTGTATTCTGCAAATACACATTACTCAAACATGGAGGAAGTGTCAGGGTCTTGTACGAGTATATGATTAATCATCGCTTAAGAAACACTCAAGTATCTAATGTTAGAACAGTAAATAATAAAAGCTCCACCTGTTTCGTATAACATTGAAAACCTGAAAGAGTGTATAATTGTATTCTTCTGAGAAGGTAATTAGTCATTTTTGTGTCATTTGTTTTCATAGCTTTGCTAAATATTAATGCACCATGTGTAATGGCTTCCTCAGAATTATTTTAGTACCAAGAAAAATATTTTGCTACGTATTTTGAAAATTTAAAACTATGATCACGTTTTTATAAGAAATCAAAGCAATTTAATTTATATAATGTTTTCGAAATTGTCTTCAGATATCTTTAAAATAGGTTGCCTTCCCTGTTGTCGACAGTTCAAAATAGGGGACAGCGGAAAATAGCCTTAGTAGCCTTGCTATAAACAAACGAACAAACCCTAATCTTGTATTCAACACCAAGGGATATATGTTGTATCCATCCTAGAAATCGCGAGACATTTTTCTATATTTTGAGACTAATACTAGTCCTGATCCTGATGCCATGATTTGAAACTTTAGCCTAGTAGTAAAAAACAACACGGATGGCTAGATTTCAAAGCTTTTTTTTCTATAGCTATTCTAAACGTTTCTAAATACATTCCTTAAAGCAATTATATAGAAGTGCTAAAGGTCTGAAGACATTCTATAAATATTCTAAACGCTTTTAGACTTTCCATAAAACAATTATATAGACATCGGTAGCACCTACCACTAACTGTTGGGCTACTTTTTACCAGCGAACAGTGGCATCTACGATCACACTGTAACTCTCCTACGGCTGAAAGGAGCGAGCATGTTCAGCGCTGGATTTCGATCCCGTGACCCGCAGATTACGAGCAGAGAGCCCTAATCATCATGCCATGCTAGGCTCCAAAGATCAATGAGAGTGTAAATAAATAACTTAGGGGACGAGTAAGGCCTAATGTTTAGCGTGCCTGGCTGCGGATTAGAAGGCCGAAGATTCGAGTCCCAGATATTCCAATGGAAGTATTCTGCACTTTCAGCCGTGAACGCGTTATAAAAGTGACAATCAATCTCGCTATTCGGTTATAGATGAGGGAGTTTGCTGCTTCCCGGTTGCCACGCCTTCTGTTTAGTAGTTCGAAATTAAGGACGGCTATGCTTGATCCTTGGGGTCTCTGACCTAGCCGTTAGACTCCTGTGGCCATTCAAGTCGACAAAAAACAAAATTCTGAATTTAGTTTCGAAATAGCGTTGTTGTTTACAAATACATCCCGGTTTAACCACTTTTATCGGGATTTTATACAAGAAGAACGCTTTGACATTAACAGTTAAACTGATAATTTTATTTCGAAGCCTTATCTTTTATGCCATGATGAAATTTTTTGGCCAAGTTGCTATCATCCTATAAACTGTTTTTAACTCATAGACGTATAATAAAAACTGGATAATTGAAAAACAAGCTGATATAAACGAAATAGAAATACTGTAATATTATATTCATTGCTATTTCTTCATAGAGTGGTTTCGTATTTCCAATCACTTTCTCTACAGATGCCTAGATTTTTTTGTGTATAAGATATTAAATGTAAAACAATATTTATTTACGAGATTTACCCCAATATTTTAATTACACATCATTCTTCAACCCACTGAAGAACTGTAAGTTCCATTAACAATCATAACAAAAAAATATTTTCACCTTCGAAATGAAACTCCTAAAATGTTGTTTTGGTGTTAACGAAGTCTTTGGTTAAAATGGTGGAATGTTTATCTTTGTGTTCGTTCAAGAGACAAATAAAGTAGAAAAGAAAGTATAAATGTTTTGTGTCGCCACCAGGAGGATCTTTTAGAAGTCATAGCTGTAAGAAATATAGACGACTCCTAATTAAAAAAGAATACCAAATATCTTATTTCAGTGACAACAGATGCATCTCCTAGTGTTATCTTGGATGTCATTTTAGGTTTTTCAACTCCTAATGTAAAGAAACATTATACAATATATTTATGCAATGATATCATTTGCACCTCTTTTGTTATGTTGAATGTCGAGTTAAATTTTTTTACATATCAAAATGTTTTGGGTTTTACCACAGGTTTTTTTAATTGTATGTGAAACTTGCTGAACATAAGTGTAAAAGAAGGATTTAAAATGTTTCATACAAGGACTCTCCGTATAATAGAAAAATTGTTGACTGGGAATTTTAATGTTTTAGCAAAGTCTAAATAAGTCCATCGGATAAGGATTTTACCAAATCTTCGGCTTCTTGATATTTGCGTAACCGGAATTGATTAAAACGTGGTAGAAATGTCTTCCTCTACGAGTCTTCCATATAAATCCATCATCTGTTTGTTACGACACATAATAGTGCCACTGTTCTCCGTAAGGTTCATATTAGGTTTATGTTTTCTTTTTAACCCTAAAATCGTGAGTTGTTCGTACAGAAATACTCGTGTTTTGGAGGCAACTTTAAACAAAAGAAGGGATCCGCTAGATCAAATTTTCATATAAAATAATTTAGGGTTCGATCTCTTACTTCGAAAAACGCAAAGAAACTCCTAAAATGTTATTTCAAGGCCATTAGATTTTGACCCTCTCTTGTACTGTAAAAATTGTTTTCACCATGTTTATGTCACCTAGAATGATATCTCCCAGTGGGGAAGCGGTAAGTTTACGAACTTACAACGCTAAAATCCGAAGTTCGATTCTCCGTGTTGGTCAGAAGGCAAAAGACTATTGCTTAGTATGGCGCTAGAACGAACAAATCTAGGATCCTATGTACACTAGTAGAAACAACAATATATGCTCTTCAGCTAATTTCGTTGGTTGAGGTCTGATCAATTATATCTAAATCTGTCAATTACTGAACGATCTACTACAAAGAAAGTGGTTATAATGAGAGTAACAAAGTATCTCATTGTTACTATTTCTTCTTCTTCGCACTTTTCTTGTCCTCTTTTGATTAGATTTTAACGTTTTTGGACGACTTCTCTTTCTAAAGATTTGGCTTTGACGGATCTGTTTCTAGAAACGACGACGTTTCGGATTCTATACTGGGCCAAAAAGCCGTCTCCCCTCTAGAAACAGGCAAGAGCAGTCCGTCAAAGCCAAATCTGTACTATGTTTACACTGGTTAAAATACCCTTGAAACAAGACCCCTCTTTCTCATCGGGACTACATCCTAACATCACACCTTCCAACTTTGCTCTTTCAATAAAGACTGGGGTGAACATGACTTTTGGACTTTCTTTCACTCTGTATATTGACTAGGTATATGTACAGGTATTGGATCGATTTCAAACAAACTCTTCACACAAACGCAGAGAAGAATTCATTGTTAAATAAAGATTTCTCTATAGAGTTAAACCAAAGATTACAAAAGTTGTGTTATTTGAGTGCTAAAAGACAGAAATTTTCAATGGTTTGTTGATAACTAAAGCTATCATCAGGAACCAAATAGGAAATAATTAGCACTTCTTTTGGACCCTTTGATAATATTTGAACAGAAATACTGAACTCAAATAAATAACTAAAAGGACTTCACTAACATGATTAGTTGTTGAAGGAGGTTGTTTACAAAGTTGACAGAATTAACCTCATAAACCCATCTACTTAGATCGCATTGTTTGTATGTTTTTTCTTTATTTTTTTGCTTTAAGTTGAAATTTTTTCGTCATATTTCTTGTGATTCGTTATCCTATCATCTGCTTTAATTTTTCTACGTAAATACTTACGAACTGGTTTATGAGTATCTGCCTCTTCCTTTAAACTGTGCCAAAACTGGTTTTTTCTATAAATAATACACAGGTTATTTACAAATTATAATTGTTGGCATTTTTCCAGTTTTTTCCCCGTAAATAACTTATTGTCTTTGTGGTTATATTGTCATTTGGTGGTGTAGTTCTAGCAATCTGTTTCCATAACTCATTTCCTTTATACGTACATGGGAGTAAAGCCCCCTTTTACATATAAGTTATATAAATGAAAGCAAGGTTTTTATGAAAGATTTGACTCAATACACGAAGAAACATGCCTACCAAACACAGTTCACAGAATCAATACATAGTACAAAATAAGCATAAAAGTACATATTTTCATCTGCTAAAACAGTCGTGCTTAAAAATCAAAATAAATATTGCCGTCAATTGCTAACATGGTAGAAAGTTAATTTATGTGAATGTTCTCAGTGAATCATTTCACTTACCTTATAGAGGTTGTACACAGCCCCAGAGTTTCTTCCACCTGGCATCCTGTCTTCTCGAACAGCTGAATAAAGAAGAAATCTTTAGGATGTTTGTTTGTTATGAATTTCGCGCAAAGTTACACAAGGGCTATCTGTGCTAACCGTTCCTAATTTAGCAGTGTACGACTAGAGCTAGTCATCACCACC